CTTCGCCGCCAATTGCGCTTAGTCCGCACCCTTAGCAGGTCCGCGGGGAACAACTAGGTGAACTACTCCTTCTTCAGCCTTCATTCAAATCGTGAATTCATCTTTCAAGTTAAGTGGAATTCAGATGCCGTAACGATTAAGAATGAAGTAGCATGCGCGGCGCATTCCAAGTGGGATGATTAACACTGAATCCCTCATAGCTCTTGCCCTCACTCTCGTAATGAGAGACGCTTGCTGGAAACACAACCTGGAACCTTTTGATTTGGGATAATTATTACAGGTTTCTTTTTCGAATTCTTCTTCGAACAAAGGTAAAGGGTCTCATCCGAATTTGTACCATTATTCACGATTCCGGTCGAACTTTAACACGGTCTCATGACCATATTGCAGTTTGACCGAGAAGCGGGTTTGTAGCTGTCCTGCTAATTCTAAGTGGATTCGGAGGGATACGAAAGTATTGGGCTTTGTGAAAGCTGGCTCAATCACTTCATAGATAGTCTCTAAATAACCTAAGGCAATATACATTATCCGAAGAGATAGCAGGATAGCCGAGTGGTTAAGAGGTTAGACTCATGTCTGCACCTCCGAAAACCGCGAGTTCGATCCCTGCCGAGGCTAAACCATGCCTTGCAAAAATTGCAAAAATGGTTCTAGTACCAGCGTCAGGCCCAGGTTGACAGGCCGGCTGATGAATACCCCAGTCACACCAACCATGTCTAAAAGTTGTCAAAGAATCAGTGATAAAGCTAGGAGTCACCCGAAGTGGCGCGCAGAACCCCCGCCGAGTTCTGTGGTCAGTATGCGAGGGCTACCGAGGAGTGAACGGCCTCGGCCAAAGAAGCTAGTTCGAATAGGGACTCTTAACGTGGGATCGCTAACTGGGAAGTCCCGAGAGGTTGCTGACCTGATGACGCGCAAGAATATCCAAGTCCTATGCCTTCAGGAGACGCGATGGAAAGGTGCTAAGGCCAGGGAAATCGGGGAAGGTGTCAAGCTCTACTACAATGGAGAAGACACCAAGCGGAACGGCGTGGCCATAGCGGTAGCGGAGTCGCTCAAGGACTACTATGTCTCCGCTGTGAACAGGATCAGCGATCGGATCATGGCTGTGAGGATAGACACGAAGGAGGGGTACTGGTCAATACTCTCCGTGTACGCACCGCAAGCCGGGTGCCCCGAAAGTGATAAGGACGAGTTCTATCTAAGCCTGGACGAAGCCATAAGATCGGTTCCGGAAGGCGATTACCTGACCATAGCAGGTGATCTGAATGGCCACGTCGGCAGTGATAGAAAAGGCCTAGAGAGGGTGCACGGAGGTAGAGGGATAGGATCGAGGAACGCTGAGGGAGAGAGGGTTCTGGACCTGGCTACGGCCCACGACTTGGCAGTCTGCAGCACGTTCTTCGCGAAAAGGAAGTCTCAAAAGGTAACCTACAGCAGTGGAGGGAGACAGACGGAAATTGACCATGTGCTGGTGAGAAGATCAACCCTCAAAACTGTGAAGGATATCAAAGTTCTACCCGGCGAAGACCTGGCTCCCCAGCACAGGCCCCTTCCTGGCAGACATTGCGATAGACCTCCCCAAGAAGACAAGGGTAAGAACCGAGAGGAGAATCCGGTGGTGGAAGCTGCACCAAGCGGAGAAGGATGACCTCAGGCGAAAGATAATGGAAGTCGGTCTCCCAGATCCTAACGCCCGTTTTGTTTTGTACAATGGACTTGGGGCAACGCGGCTGAGACCATCCTGCGATGTGCCAAGGAGGTCCTGGGTGAGACGCGAGGTGGACTCAGAGGAGACAAGGCAGCGTGGTTCTGGAACGAGGAGGTCCAGCGAGTCGTGAAGAGGAAGAAGGAAGCATACAAACGCTGGCAGAAGAGCCGAAGTCCCGAGAACTTCGCTGCCTACAAAACCTGCAAGAGGCTTGCGAAGGCTGCCGTCGCAAGGGCAAAGAACACAGAAATGGACGCCCTGTACGAGAAGTTGGAGAGCCGAAACGCAGAGAAGTTCGTCTTCAGGCTGGCTAAGGCCCGGCATCGTGCTACCCAAGACATCAGGGTGGTGAAAAGTGTGAAAGGCAGAGATGGTGTCATCCTAAGGAAGCCAGCCGAAGTCAAGAGGAGGTGGGAAGAGTACTACAGTGCACTTCTGAACGAGGAGTTCCCCCACGAGAACAACTCACGGGCAGAGGCCACAGCTGGTCCCATCGCACTCTGGACTGAGGATGAGGTTAGGTGTGCACTTGGGAGGATGAAGATTGGGAAGGCGGTTGGCCCAGATGGGGTGCCAATCGAGGCTTGGAAGGCGCTCGGTGAGTACGGGATAAGATGGCTCACACGATTCCTCAACAACATAACTGCGAAAGGAAGGATGCCAGATGCCTGGAGAACAAGTACTATCGTCCCCATCTTCAAGCAGAAGGGTGACGCGATGGACTGCTCCAACTACCGCGGGATCAAGTTGACTGCTCATACAATGAAGCTGTACGAGCGACTGGTCGACTCGAGACTGCGGGAGCTGGTCCCCATCTCCCAGGAACAGTTCGGGTTCATGCCGAAAGGTCTACGACGGATGCCATCTTCATCGCAAGACAAGTGATGGAGAAGTATCGAGAAAAGCGCCGACCCTGTTACCTAGCCTTCCTCGACTTGGAGAAGGCGTTCGACCGGCTACCACGAGCGGTACTGTGGAGAGCGCTTAGAGAACGGAACGTGCCAGAACACCTGGTCTCGCTGGTGAAGGACATGTACGACGGGGCTAAGGCAGCCATACGCACCCCACATGGCCTAACAAAAGAGGTAAACATCACGGTTGGGGTGCATCAAGGGTCAGCTCTGAGTCCGTTCCTCTTCCTCCTAACACTAGATGTCATGGTGAAGGGGCTCATAGAAGGGCCACTAAAGACCATCCTCTACGCTGACGACATCGCCCTGATAGCTGATAGCAGAGAAGAACTACAGGCCAAGGTGCAGAAGTGGCAGAAGGCCCTGGCAGAAGGGGGGCTCCGGCTAAATGTCAAGAAGACCAAGTTCCTGAGCTCCGAAGAGAGTGCAGAGCCGATCGTGGATGGACATGGCGAAAGCATCGAAAGAGTGGAGGACTTCCGATACCTTGGGAGTGATCTGGCGGCCGACGGCAGTGTGGACCAGGCAGTAAAGGGGAGGATCAACGCGGCATGGATGAAATGGAGGGAATCCACTGGAATCCTCTGCGACCGAAGGTGCTCCAGAAGCGCTCAAAGGGAAGGTGTACCGAACAGTGGTAAGGCCTGCGATGCTCTACGGCTGCGAGTGCTGGCCCCTGAACAAGAACCACGAAAGGCAGCTTCACTCGGCCGAAATGAGGATGCTGAGATGGGCCTGCGGCTGGACGCGACTGGACAGGGTCAGGAACGAGGATGTCAGAACGGTCATGCAGACTGCCCCTGTGTCCAGCTGAAGGTGAGGGAGCAGCGACTGCGGTGGTATGGGCATGTGCTAAGAAGACCACAAGGCCACCCAATAAGGAATGCAATGGACTTCGAAGCGCAAGGCAAGCGACCGCGAGGAGCCCCAAAGAAGAGGTGGAAGGACGTAGTCAAGAAGGACCTAAGCGAAATCATGGCCACTGCAGGGGATGCCCTGGACAGAGCGAAGTGGCGACGACTGATAAAAGCGGACCCCCAAATCATATCCATCCATCTTTAATTGCAAGAGTTGAGCGACCGTAGTCTGAAATTTTGCAGCAAACGGATGTGGCAATGGAAGCGATTCGATGTCGAAAGAGGCGAGAAAAAAAATTGCCCATAGATTCAACCGCGTACGTCAATTCAACGACAAGGCGACTGGTTGGAGTTACCCGTATAGCAAGAACATGTATAAACTTGTGAGTTATTAATGGTAGCCCACCCCATTAGAAATGACTAGATTTGATGAGCATCATTAAAAATAATTCAGCTCGTAAAGATGGAGCATGAGACCGGAAAATCATACTGAAAGTCGTCCACTGAACTAAAACTCTAAAACGCTCGATCTTCCACCGTAAATTCCACTTCGCCTTTCGATCTACCCTCTCTTTCAAAAAATCAGAAACGCGTCGGGTGCAGACCACACACCACAAGTGACGACGGCCTCCAAGTAAATCTGGTAACTAGTGATTCATAGTGATAGCTGATAGTTGGTAAATGATAGTTGTAATTAGTGACAACTGATAGAATACAACTGCAACAGGCTAATCATTTCATTGGCAGAAAACATTTTACATTTGTGAGGCCGTCGTCAATTGTGTTGCGTAGTCTGCACTCGACTCGTTTCTGGTTTTTGAAACAGAAGCGGACCACCGTGCTTTCTATAATAGCAACGAGCTCTCCATTATGAAGCATAGACTTAATGGTTCACGTTACAGTGTTTCAGAATTTATCGAATGATTCTCCTAGGTTTGGAACTGCGACTTAGAGAAGCTATCACAAGCACGATTACCGTCAGGTTGTTCAGATCAAGTACAAGGAAACTCCTATTACGCCGAAAATTTCTTCAGGTACGCTGTTTTTCAATGATTTGATCAGACCAGCAACTGAGGCCGTGGTACCATGTCTAAGCATTGGTCCTTGAGTAGCTACATCTCCACCCACCCCTTCCACGATCAGCGGGAGGATCAGTCAAAAGGAGCTGGAAAGCTAACAAATTCAGAAGAAGGTCAAGCTCCGAGATTAAAGCTAAAGTTGACAGGGGGTGGCTAATACTCTGCAGTATGAGTGGAATTTTCCATGAGTCCTTCATCGTGTTGGATAATTCCGAAAAGTTCCTAAGCGCTACGCCGGAAACGCTAGAGGGGGAGATGCCTGGCCGGAAAGCTAACAAAGTCGAATGCTTCGAGTCTTCAGGGCTCTGAAGAAGACAAAAATTTTTACCAAATCAAATTAAAATTTGCATAAAGTCCACGTAGTGTTCCATCTTATGCCGACTAGCCCCTCGTGACTGCCATTTATTGCCTTCCTTCTTCAGCAGCAGGGTGAAAATCCCGTCGAAGAAATCCCGGATCCTGCCCGTAGCCAGGTAGGAGTCCCTGCAGTAGCAATATGTCTCCATATCTCTGCTTTTTTGTAACTACATTTGCATAGCAAACTGCAGTTGAAAACAGCAATAAAGGAGTCACAAAATCCAAAAAAGGCAAAGAAAGCCCGTAAATCGCTAACCTGAAAGCAGACTCAAAGTCACGGGTCGGGATCTGGGTCCCAAGAGTCAGTCCTTTCTAGGGTGAGGATATGGGTCCTCAAGGGCAGGAGGCAGGACACTGTCGCGACTCAAAAGTGCGAGGCAACGGCGTTAAGGCCTTGCCTTGTGTGCTGCCGTGCTGCCATCCTTATCACGACCATAGTGCACGTGGTCTCTGCATCCTCTCGTGTACGACAAACTATCACGTTCTCCCCCTCCTCGTTGCGCTGTGTCTCTGCGCCACACCACGGAACGGCCTGATAAGGGAAATTTAGTTTTCTATTGCGCTTTTTTTCTCCCCACCAATGTCCTTCATTTCACTTTGCCTAATTTCAATCAAAATAACGCACTAATTCAATCCCGACTCGTGCCTTTATTTGTGAGAGGATTGAGAGAGCAAGAGCAGAGGCGAGAACGGGCCTTTGCAATATATCTGTCGAGGGGTTCCCGTGCCGATCGAAAAAACTATTTCTCCTACGCCACTGCAAAGCACTTCTTTTGAATCTCTCCCAATACAATTGATGGTGACGAGGAGCAAGTGACATCTGCACAACTGTTTCATTTGTTTTCTTTTCATTGTGTTCGCGATTCCTACTCTCACCAAAGGCTAATACAACCCCTTGCCGAGGAGTCCCCAAAACCCGTGCACCCTGCTCAGTTGCCATCTTGCGAACTGGAAATGATACTACGAATCTCCTCGCAATTAACCTTACTGTCATGTTCAGCTCGAAAGCAAACATCGCCATTCCGAATGCGAAGCAGTCACTGTTCAATCATCATTGACAACAGTTATGTACTGCATATATTCCAAATGGTTGATTATACTTTTTGCCGGAGTTGGCTCCGAAAAATTCTCCAAACCTCCATATTTCAACACCCTATACATACTGGGAATATCTTCGCAGGATTTAAACGAATTATTTTACTTAAATTAAAGGAAGTGGTCACGATAATTCTCATAGGGACGATAAGGAAAGCTGTGTACTGGAGTGGATAGGGGTCCTGCCCAATGTTAGAACACGTGAAGTTTCAGTGGCAGTGGCGCCTTATCAACGGAGTGATAAGGCGCCGAAATCCACTTCCGTTCAGCAAAAACCAAGACTTATCGATGTGGAAAGGGGTGCGATAAGAGCGTGCTAGATATGATACCGTTATCGTTATCGTCCCGTTTTCATTCTGGAGTGCACCTCTTATCAAGCAGCCGCACCTTCTTATCTCATCGTATCATATCTTCCATGGGCTTACACTCGTCCAACAATTACTGCCTCACACCTTATCGATTGATAACGCGAGGGTAGCAAATCCAGCGTGGAAGCCAGCGTGACCGCTTCCTTTCAACGTGTAACAAATTCAGATCCAACACACCGCTTCACAAACAGAGGAGACTATTTTGCACAAGGCCATCGCATCTTGGGTAAATGAAGGAAAGCAAAGCAAACTTACGGCAACTAGCGCTGGTGTTTATTATACCGGCCAACGGGACACCCTCAATTATTTGAATGTAGGTGTCACAAGCGTTGTCATTCCGAATCATATGCCTTAGATTTGATCATGTATATTTCTCTCCTCCATTTTAAGATGATAAGAGGAGAAGCCCGAGCAGTAGGCTGTTCGACTACGATCCAAGCAAACACGTGTGTAATGGCATTATGCATATTTAATACACCGTGAGTTATGAATTTGTTTTTTCAATTGATTCGAAAGCAACAACCCCAATGAAGTCGTGTCGAACTAAATTCTGGGGGTAGCATGTGGGAAATCGCCAATCACGAGGCCGTGGGCCGACAGAAACCACATCCAGTAACCAAGGTAATAATCGACTGAAAAATAACTCGAGGCGAGGGCTCCTCTTCCACGAACATTCTAGAATTAATTAGGCTTCTCTTTTCACGGTAAAATCATCTTCAGGCACAGGCCCAAAGAAAAGCGTTCAAGATACTTCCAAGAAAAGTAGAATTTTAATGAAGCGATGTTTTTTTCAAGCCCTGTTTTCCGAGCACAATAGCAAGCATACCTCATTTTTTTCTGGTCCTGGATGGTCTATTTTTAGGCCATTGTCGATGGGCCACCTTGTC